ATGGTGGCACAGATCATAGGAGTGACACAGGCTCCCAACTTTGGGAAATATCTAGGATTGCCATCATTTGTGGTGAGAAATAAAAAGGCATCATTTGTTTATATCGAAGATAAAATCAGGCAGAGAATTGGATCATGTAATAAGAAATTATTGTCTCAGGATGATAAAGAAATCTTATTGAAAAGTGTGGCACAAGCTATGCTTACCTTTTCAATGTGTGTTTTACTACTACCTATATCTGTCTGTACAGCTATTGAGCGGGTGATGAATCGTTATTGGTGGGGATCAAGAAATGACCGGGGCATTCACTGGAAAGAATGTGATAGATTATGTATCCCGAAAAAATATGGTGGACTGGGCTTCAAAGATGTGAGAGCATTCAATTTGGCAATGTTAAGAAAATAGGCATGGAGATTGCTTACTAACACTGACTCATTGCTGTCTCTTGTTTACAGGGCTATATATTATCCCAAAGATACTTTTATAGAGGCATGTTTAGGAAAAAATCTCAGTTTTTGTTGGCGCAGTATTATGGCAGCTAAGGGATTAATATGTAATGGTGTACGACGGCGTATTGGGAATGGTCTACCATATATAATTTGGGAGCACCCATGGCTTCAGGATGACCAGGATCCTATGATCCAAACTGAGATGCCACCACAGCTTGCTGGAGCTAAAGTTGTGGGTTTAATTGACCAGGGTACTGGTTCATGGGATCAACATATACTCTCTGATATTTTCCAACCAAGTGATATCCCTAAAATCCTGAAGATACCAATTTCCTTGGAATATGATGATGTATGGTATTGACACGTGGATCATAATGGTTGCTACTCTGTCAAAAATTGCTACAGACGCATAAACAGACAATAACGGAAACTCAAAGAAAACGTTATTGTCAATTGCAAAACGATAAACAAACAATAACTGAATAGATAAATCAGGGACATGTAAAATATTGGTTAATTTTAACGGTCTAGACGCAGAATATAACGATGCATAGCCAATATTGAAAATACCCAAACCTGACCCGTTGCCCACTCGCAGAGTATCTCCGCCAGAATAAGGATCGGAATGCGCCATCATCGTCAGATCCGGGGTGGCGTGCGACGAAGCCCAGTGTCCGGGAACCACGCGTCTGCCGGCACCACCCCCTCTTTGCTGGGAACCGATGTATGAGCCTGCGCCAGCGGCTGTCCGGAGTACCTTTTGTGGTAGTAAATCGTCATGTAGCCTTGCGATCGGCATATCTGACAGCGGGGAACACCACCTCGCCCTCTGCCCTGGCCTCCACGACCACGGCCGCCACCGCGGCCTCGCCACTGTCCAGAACCAGACTGTCGGGGACCACCGCCGCCATATGATTCTGGTGATACCCACGTCCGGCCGCCATGGCTGTGTGAGAGCCGACTGCTGGAACGTTGCCGGATGGGTAGAAGTCGTCCACCCAGATGAATTCTTGGGACTGTAGAATGTCTGAAAGTTGAGGGATTGACACCGGATTACCTGATGCCGCAAGCGACGACGCCATTGAATGGAACTCTGGTCTGAGGCCTCGGAAAACATACAAGTTCTGCTCGTCCAAGGAGACGGGGCGTCTTGCCAGCGCGAGGTCCTCCACCAATAGTTGGGCTCTACCGAGATACTCCCCGGGGGTACTGTCGCCTTGCCGGAGAGACTGGAACTGAGCAAGAAGGTTGAGACATCTAGCCCGCGTCGACAAGCCCAGAGCCGCCGCGACGAAGGTCCACACCTCCCGGATGTCTCACGACTGACAGCAAGGTACAACACTTTGTCGGCGATGGAGGATATCAGAAGAGACAGGATTGACTGATCCTGTTGAACCCACCAGGTATGCGCCGGATTCGTTGTAGTGATGGACGTGGTACTGCTGGAGCCGGCCTCACTAGTCGCCGGAGTCGTGACCGTCACAGGAGGGCACGTACGGTGTGTCGCCGGTAACGAAGCCTAACAATCCTTGTCCACGGAGGAAGGGAACCAATTGAGTACGCCAAAAAAGGTAATTTTTGGTGGTGAATTTCATAGACACTAGGTGGTGTGCCGTGGGCAGGGTATTCATGGTGGTGGAGGAAGGGATAGGCGCGACTGTGACCGTCCTTTCACTAAAGTTTGTCGACATGGTGGGAGAAGAGAGAGAGAGAGAGAGAGAGAGAGAGAGAGAGAGAGGATTGCCTAAGCTAACTGATACCAGATGAGAGAATGTTTTACGTGAATTCAAATTCTCAGATAATACAGAGATACAGAAGACATAAAAGACTAGCCTAAAACTAACCCTATACAATAGCTATTAGTTAAGGACTAAATCAACTATAAATATATAGCAATAACGTTACATTATAATATACTCAAATATAACATTACTAACATTTTGAATTGTTGAAACTCAAAGTAGATAAAAATTGTGATGGCTAGAAAACTCAATGAAAAACAAATATAGATCAGAGCAACATTAACAAATAGCATGAGAGACCTCCAAATTAACCTTCCCTAATCACTGTCGGACTTTTCCAGATCATTGTCGGACTTGTCTAGATCACTGTCGGATTTGTCCAGATCGAGGACACCTGCATTTCATTGACATGTTTCTAACAAAATATAATTAATAAGCCTTTGAATAAACCAATTGTGAATATAGAAGAAATGCTCAGAAGATTAACTCAAACTGTAAGTGTAAAAATATTGCACATTTAAGCCTCTTATTATTGGCTCAGATTAGTTGTCAAAGTAGTTCTGGATTAGTTACTGGATTAGTCATAACGTCTGGAGTAGTTGACTGGATCAACGCAAGAAAGTAATCCAGGAGGTATGAAGCTTCTTCAAATTCTTTATTCCAGTCAAGACCCTATCAAGGAGGAGATCTAAATCTACTGGAGCAGCCGAAATCAAGGATGGAAAGAGTGCTTGATTTGTGGATCGAAGGATTCTTCACTACCTATATAAAATGCTACTTTGTTTGGCATTTTGATACACACTCTTTCACATACTTGTGCTCTGAAATTCCTTGGTTATTTATCCTAAATATATTCTGTATTGTTGAGTGTGAAGAAAGGTCCTTAATCAGTTTATGAAGCAATGAAGATCGCCAGCACATCGGATCCACTGGAGTAGGCTCTGGAGTAGTTATAGGTTATACTTTAGTGTGTAATTAACTCTCCTCTTGTACTCCTTTTTATCATAGTGGATTTGGGTTGATGTGAGTGGCCCCGCAGACGTAGGAGTGTGGCTCCGAACTGCGTGAACATTTCCCGGTGCATGTTTTCCCTTACTGCCCTCTATTTTATGTTCGTTTTATATCTGGAGTAGGATTGTATCTAGGCTAATTTTATTTTTGAAATAAAATTAATACCTAAGTTAAATCTTGCAATTAAGACTCACGTGTTTTTTCAATTGGTATCAGAGCCCGGGGACTTAAGTTACTAGTCTAACCGATCTGGCTATCACGTGTTTTTTGAACTCAAGATCTCAGTATCTGGTTTTCTTTCTGTGTATCTGGTTTATTTGTTGCTCACTGTGCATTGAGTCTTACAGCATGGAACGACATAGAGCACCTCCTGAACTAACAGGTGACAACTATGCGTACTGGAAGGCCCGCACCAAAATGCATCTACGAGCTCAAGGAGAGAGGGTCTGGAGGGATGTTCTTACTGGTTGGTCTCATCCTACCAAAGATGGAGACAATACAGGAGATCCTCCAGTCCTCAAACCAGAGGCAGAATGGACAGAGACTGAGATGACCACTGCTAGCTACAATCATAAATCGTTAGATACTATCTTTTCTTTAATGCATGAGAGTCAATTTTCCATTGTTGCAGGGTGTGATTCGGCTAAAGAAGCTTGGGATGCCTTGGAAACCACCTATGAAGGAACCGCATCGGTTAAACAATCCAAGTTACAAATGGTTCAATCAGATTTCGAAAGATCTAAAGATGAAAGATGATGAAACTATAGTTGATTTTCATGCTCGGGTACAAGAACTAGCCAATAGGGCAGGTATCCTAGGCGAGCCAATCACTCAAGAAAGACTGGTCAAAAAGATTCTTCGGTCACTCCCTCCAAGATTTTGCATGAAAGTTACCGCTATTCAGGAGCATGATGGATGGGAAAAGAAATCAGTACAACAATTGATGGGAAGCCTACAAACCTATGAGATGGAAATTTTAGGCGGCCCTGAAACAAAAGGAAAAACCGTAGCTTTTACTGCCGAAGATGCTGGAGCTGGATCTGATCGAGATGAGGTAAGTGATGATCCAGTAGTTTTTTTATCTAAAGGTTTTTCTAAATTTTTGCAACAGGTAAAACAGCGTCAAAATGGAAAATTTGGCAAATATGAAAGTCAAAAAGGATCGGGGTCAAGTATTGCTCGAAATAGTCAAAAACCAAATACTTCCAATCAATGATCAGGTACATCAAGAAACTCTCAACTTAAAGAAAAAACCGGGGGCAAAGGGATTAAGTGTTATGAATGTGAAGGGTATGGTCATGTGCAAGCCGAATGTCCAACCTACCTAGGACGGAAGAAATCGATGAAAGTCGCTCTTACCTGGAGTGATGATGATGAACCAGAAATTGATCCAGGATCTTATCCAGAATAGATCTTAGGGAACTTTGTTGCCTTCACGGCCTTCACAACTACAATACCTGACTCAACAGCAGGTGAAGAATCTGAAATTGAAGAGTATGTGTCGTCAGAAGATCAAGATTTACCTGCTCCTTCATTTGAAGTAGAATATAGGAAATTGTATGCAAAATGGGAAATTCTTGTAAAAGTTAATAAATCTCTGTCTAGTCAGGTTAGCATTCTAGAAAATGCCAAAAAGGTGTATCTATCTAAAATAATTGACAGGGACATCATCATTGAAAACAGTCACAAGAAAGAAGAAACTCTCAAACATGAGCTGGAAGAACTCAAAAATGATCTGGAACAACTCAAACTCAAGATAAAAATGATGGACAACACATCCACTTTAGACCAAATTTTGGATTCTGGTCGAAAGACACCAACGAAGTATGGGTTATGATACTCTGGAGGAAAGGACAAAGTTGCTATAGTTTTCGTCAAAGCCTCAGGCCCTGACTCACTAGAGCAGATCAAGATAGTCCAGAAACTAGTACAGCTCAATGACAAGTCAAATTTGCTCCAAGTAAAAAGGCAACCAAGATTAGATTTTATAATCCTATATGTCATTACTGCAGGGTACGTGGACATACGAAACCGGATTGCTTCTACTTCTACAAAGACCAACGTGTTGAGAAATACACCAAAAAGTCTATCACCCCGTTTGTCAAGCAAATTTGGGTGAAGAAAAGTGATTTTGTCTGCCATGTCTCCTTCCACTCTACAAGTACTAACAGAAAAGAGAGATGGTACTTTGATAGTGGATGTTCACGTCATATGACGGGTGATTCTAAGTTCCTAAACAATATAAAGGGAAGTACATGAGAAGTGACTTTCGGCGATGGTGTTAAGGGAAAGATCACTGGAATTGGCACTCTAAATGTCACAAATCTACCCAAACTAAAACAAGTTCTCTTGGTGGAGGGCCTTCATGCAAATCTTATAAGCATAAGCCAATTATGTGACCAGGAATGGAAAGTCTGCTTCACCAAGGACAGTTGCAATGTCACAGACTATCAAAAGAACTGTGTCATGGAAGGTAAACGCTCTTCTGATAATTGCTATATACTTACTAACGATTCTTTTTTGTTACAGGTCCAGCATAAAAGAATCAAAACTATGGAATCAAAAATTGGGTCACTTAAATTATCGCTCTCTGGAAAAACTAATCAAGATTGAGGGTGTACGAGGTCTACCTAAAATCAAGGTAGAAACAGTCGGAGTATGCAGTGCCTGTCAAGCTGGAAAACAAACTAGAGCAACGCATACCCCTCAAAATATGATCAATACCACACACTGCTTGGAACTCATTCACGTGGACCTTATTGGACCTACCCGAACAGAAAGCATTGGAGGTAAAAGGTACATTTTAGTTTGTGTTGACGATATTTCTCGGTTTTCGTAGGTCAGTTTTCTCAGGGAAAAGTCAGAAACTTTCGAAGCCTTCAAAGCCCTAGCCCTAAAGCTCCAAAAAGAGAAAGATGAGCCAATCATACGCATTAGAAGTGATCATGGACGTGAATTCGAAAATCAAGTGTTTGATGATTGGTGTGCATTGGCTGGTATCTCTCATGAATATTCAGCACCTAAAACGCCACAACAAAATGGCATTGTTGAAAGGACGAATCGGACGATTCAAGAGATGGCTCGGGTACTACTCAATGCCAAAGACTTTCCGCAGAGATTTTGGGCTGAAGCAGTAAGTACTGCTTGTCACACGATAATTCGAGTATATCTCCGACCTGGAACGCATCACAGTCCGTATGAAATATGGAAAGGTAAGAAGCCTAATATTAACTACTTTCATATTTTTGGCTCACGGTGTTTTATCTTGAAGGACTGAAACCCAACTGGAAGCTTTGAGCCTAAAAGTGATGAATGGTACTTTCTTGGTTACTCAACGAATAGTCGTGCCTACCGTGTCTACAACAAAGTTACAAAATCCATCATGGAATCGGCAAATGTGGTGGTTGATGATCAACCTGATGAAATAACTGAGGTTATAAGAGTCACTAACCCCGAAGTTACTCCAGAATCTGACACAAATAATCTAGAACCTCCTGAAACTGCGTCATCAGATCCTACTCCGACTCCACTATCTACCAGTCTAGAACCTGGTCTAGAACCAGATGCTGGAGCACTCGAAGTTGCTATCCGAACTCACAAAGATCATCCTACACAAACTAGAGGGATTAAGCGAAATTACCTCGAGTTTGCAGGGTATACATGTTACACGTCAAAAATCGAACCCAAAATGGTAAAAGAAGCCATATCTGATGAATACTTGATTAAAGCTATGCAGGAAGAACTCGGGCAATTTGAACGTAACAAGGTATGGAATCTTGTCCCTAAACCTGACGGTGTAAATGTTGTAGGAACAAAGTGGATCTTTCGCAACAAAACTGATTCAGCTGGAAACATTGCTCGCAACAAAGCAAGACTGGTTGCACAAGACTACTCTCAAATTGAAAGTATCGACTATGAAGAGACGTTTGCACCTCTAGCACGCCTAGAATCTATTCGCCCCTACTATGTATAGCGTGTGCTCTAGGAATAAAGTTGTTTCAGATGGATGTCAAAACGGCTTTTCTAAATGGATATCTATCCGAAGATATATATGTTGCTCAACCTAAAGGCTTCGAAGACCCTCATCACCCTGACCATGTCTACAAACTGGACAAGGCTCTATATGGTCTAAAACAAGCTCCAAGGGCCTGGTATGAAAGACTATCCCAGTATCTTCTCCAGCACGGCTACAAGCGAGGGGGAGTCAACAAAACCTTGTTTATCAAAAGGTCAGGTAAACATATTAAAATTACTCAGGTTTATGTTGACGATATTATCTTTGGTTCCACTCAAACAGGTGTTACAGATCAACTGGTTCAATTCATGCAACAGGAATTCGAAATGAGTATGATCGGTGAACTAACCTATTTTCTAGGACTACAGGTTCAACAAACCAATGAAGGTATTTTTATATCTCAAGAAAAATATGCAAAATGCCTTCTAACGAAGTTTGGACTCGAGTCAGCTAAAGAAGCACGAACGCCAATATCTACAACTACAAAATTAAGCAAAGATGAATCAGGGAAGCCAATTGATCCTACTCTATATAGGAGCATGATTGGGAGTCTACTATACCTAACAGCAAGTCGTCCAGAAACTATGCTCAGTGTTGGAATATGTGCCAGGTTTCAAGCTGCCCCTAAAGAATCACATCTCAAAGCAGTGAAAAGAATAATTAAATACGTCAAAGGTACTCTCAATTACGGCATTTGGTTTTCGAATGATACTAACCTGAATCTTGTAGGATACAGTGATGCCGACTGGGCTGGAAATGGATATGATCGCAAAAGTACCTCTGGTGGGTGTTTCTTTTTTGGAAAAAACTTAGTTGCCTGGCTAAGTAAGAAACAAAATTCGATATCTCTCAGCACAGCTGAAGCTGAATATATAGCAGTTGGTAGCTGCTGTACGCAGCTCCTATGGATGAGACGAATGCTTCTAGATTATGGTCTACATCAAGAGTGAATGACACTCTATTGCAACAATACCAGTGCTATCAACATCTCCAAGAACCAGTTCAGCATTCCCGGACTAAACATATTGAAATACGGCATCACTTCATAAGAGAATTGGTAGAAGACAAGGAGATCAACCTGGAGTACATTTCAACGGAGAAAAATCTAGCTGACCTATTTACAAAACCTCTTGATAACATAAGATTTGAGTTACTCCGGGCTACTCTTGGAGTGTGCAGGTTTTGCATCTAAGTTTTTTTTTTTTTTTTTTTTTTTTTTTTTTTTTTTTTTTTTTTTTTTTATGTGGAACAATAAAGTCTGTTGTGTTTCTTTGTTTTGTGTTTTTTTCCCCTTTCAGGTTTAATCCAGAAAATCCTCCAGATCCGCTCTCTGCTCTAGTCAGTATTCCAGACCGTATAATAAGTCATTAGATCGCACTAAATGTCTCTCCATTTTTTTTATTTTTTTTATTTCTCTCTCCTGGCTGTTATAAACCACCGTCTCCTTCCCCAAATTTTAGAATCTAATCCCTAATATCTCTCTCACATTCCTTTAACTCTTCTAAAACTTCCCTTCTCAAATTCGAATCCTAGACAAAATCTTCCATCAAATCTACTCAGTATCTCCTCTCTCTCACATGGCTAGCCATTTTGATCTCAATCCTTTCCTTTTTTACCGGATTGAGGATGAGCGATTGGATCTTTATCGCCAAATCCTTTGAGGCACAGCTCCGATTTCTGATCTCTCCTCTCGCCGTGTTCTTGCGACTCTGCTTCGACATCCATCACTAATGGAAGAATTTTCCGTGCGAGATTCAAAGGAAATCTTCGCTAGAGCTTCGGGAAATACAGATGATCCCTGGCCTCTTGATGAGGTGTTCGACGAAGGAGGTCTTCAGGCAGAGCTTCGAGCTCGACAGCTACGGGCTCAATCTACAGTTTGATTTCTTTATCCTCTTAGGAAGCAATCACTTGTTGCTCTTTTCTAGGCATGTATAACTTCCTTGTGTTCTAATTCGCTTTTATCGCTTTGGTTGTGTTTTGTTGCTATGTGTTGTTGCTATGCTTTTTGTCTTAGGATCCCTCTGCCGGCATGTCTCTTGTGCCTCTGTCTACAATTGCTTTCACAGGTTCCCTACCACAACGCTCAGACGAGGCCATCCCCATAATGGCTGAGCACTCGCAAGATTCAGCCTCTGCTACAACATCTACTCCACCCGCTGCTCCAGTCACTGCTCCAGCTGCTGATCTTGCCTCTGCTCTAGGCTCTATTCCAGAGGATGTTGGGGTTTCCATTCATGACATAGTCTCTGAGCCTGAGGATCCCTCCGATCAAGCAGCCATTATGTCAGAAATTATTGCCAATATGCCCAACACTGCCCATGCACAAAGGGTTGTCCTAGTGATCACTGTGCCGTTTGCATCATCTAAGGCCAAAGGGAAGACCAAACTCACTGATCCAGATGAACCTCCAGTTGCTCATGTCCCAACTCCAGCGGCTAAGAGAAAATTGAATCTGTCCGAAGATATTGAATTTGTGTCTGAAACTCGCCCAAGTAAACGTTCAGAACATCGTCTGACTGGCCTTGCTCTGCGTACTAGATCAAGGTCTGGCATGTGTACTCCAGCCCCTCCTCCAGCCTCTGCTCCTGCTCCAAAGCTAGCCGCATCTTCTAAGACCAGGACCTCTAAGGTATCCAAGGAGACAATGTTCAGACCAATCTTGCTCTCTCCTGCCCTAGAAACAATATGGCAACAACATTCAACTCGTGACATCCTTGTTGAGAAGAATTTCAGTATTGAGTATCTTATCCGCACGTGCAACATCATTCCTCTTCTTCGTGCTCAAAATCTGCTTTAGACTATACAGAATGTGGGTGCTTACTCTGCTTGGCTAATCTCGGAATTCTATGCGAATCTCCAATCTGATTCTCTCCTACCGGCTTCTCCGCACTATCATCAGGTTTTCTTGAGGGATATTTGGTATGACTTTAGTCCCTCTATTATAAATGCTTACATTCAGCGTGATGCTTGTGATGATATGTTTGAGCCTGCTGGGGATTTTCTTGCTTCGCATCTTACTCACAATGAGGTTACTGTCTGGCAAAAAGATGGTCTTCCTTCGAATGTTCTTACAGCTGTTTACCTTGTTCTGTTCTGTTTAGCATCAAGTAACTGGATTCCAAATGTTTCTGTGCATACCGTCACTAAGAAGATGGCTTCTCTGTTATACAAAGTCAGGCATCAATTGCCCATTGATCTTGGTCATCTTATTTATCATCACATTATGAGCTTTGCTAAAAAGAAGGAAGCCAAGATTCATCTCCTGTTTCCATGTCTGATCACCGAGATTTTACAACAACAAGGTCTACAACTCTATTCAAACGAAGAGCTCTGCCATATCACTCACAAGACATCTATGGACTATCGCATCTTCCAAAGATCGCACTATGATGATCATGCCACTCTCTCATCGATTCCACCTGCTCCTGCTCCAACTGATCCACCAACGACAGGCATAGACTCTACACCAACTGCTTCTGCTACTAGCTCTGCTTCAACTCTTTCTGTGCTTAGACAGCAGGTCACCTTTCTCACCTCTCATATTGCTATCATGAAGGATGCCTCTCTTGCCCTTTAATCCTCTATCTCTACTGTCGAGGCTCAGCTGCTCCGCGCCAATCGTCACATTGCTTCTCTTGAGAATGTCTCTCCTACTGCTCCTGCTGGTGATGATGAAGCCTTGGAGACCTCCTCCTCCTCAACCCAGTCCTGATGCTGCTCTTTGTCCATTAGCTTGACAAAAAGGGGGAGTGCACGTAGTAAGGGGGAGTGTTTTTTTTTTTTTTTTTTTTTTTTTTTTTTTTTTTTTTTTTTTTTGTGAACTTACCATGAGTGCCAGTGAATAAATGTGGTGTGCTATCTGCTATCTATTTGACTCTGTGATAAATGCTAAGCTGTTATCCTATGTGAAATATATGTGCTTTATGCTTATGTGCTTGTATGCTCACTAGTACAGATTTGTAAATTCGCTACCCTTGTACAAGGGTAGCGTATACGAGGGTCGCAGAAACCCTATATGTTTCCGCGTCCCTTGTTGAATGGTAGCGGATTACTAGAATATCCGCTGCCCTTCTTCTGATAGAAGGGTAGCGGATTAGTGCTTATGTTACTACTTCATTCGCTACTCTTTCTTCATAGAAAGGGTAGCGGATTTGTTTTTTTATTTTAAAAATAATTTATTATTTTTAAAATTCCCAATTTTTTTTAAAAATCCTGTACAAATTTATATTGACAAATTAAATATATATCAACACAATATTATAAAAACAATACTCCCATCGATCAACCTAACATACACAATATTATCAATAATACAATTTCAACACTATCATAATCCATCCAAATACTTTCAACACATAAAATACTCTCACAATACATCCTAATATATATATAGTTAACACATGCATTACCTAAAAACTTTTAATTAACCAACTAGCAAAAAAAACAAGTTAATTACATGCACTCTTCCAAGAAGTACTTTGCCCAATACTCTCGAATCTCATCAATTTCATCGGTAGAGTACGGATTGCTTTCAAATACCTACAAAATAATTTAAAGTAATCAAATTATTAAATATATTAATTAATAAAATATAATTGAACTATAAATACTTCTATTTAAATTCACTTACCTCATCTAATTTATCAACAGTTGAATATTTTGTCACAATATCAAACATGTATCGCATCACATAATATCCACACTCATAACCTCCCACTTGTTGTGGACACTACAAAATACATATATATATTTTAGTATTTTAAACAATAAAAATTCAAACTATCACATTTAAACTTTAATTAATTAATTTTCATACTTTGCATGTCTTCCAGTTGATATTTTTAGTCGCTCGTCCATCACCAGTAGGAATAGAACGAAATGCCCTATATTAAATATTAATTATAAACATATATATACATAAAAAAATTACAATTAATATAAATTAAAATACTTATATTAATAATGTATTTATGTATAGTACTTACATATTCAGAGAAGCTTTAACTTGAATGGTGCGGCGATTAGAAGCCATGTGATCCAACGCATATACGCTTTTTGAGCGTAAGAAAATCACCAGAAGTAACCAATGATTAGCAAACATTCGTTTAAATCTTGGTATTACTGGTAAATACCATAATACTTTGGCTGGGGGACCTTTCTTATTCTCACACACATCATCAACATCTTTCTTTTTATAACGTGATGTCCCACACTTTGGACACACATGCAAGTCTTTGTATTCTTTCCAATACAATATACAATCATTTGAACATGCATGTATCCTTTCAATGTCCATACTCAACGGACACAACAATTTTTTTGCTTCATAAGTTGAATTAGGAAACTCATTATCACTAGGAATCATGTCTTTTAGTAGTTCTAATAGTTCCGTGAAACTCTTATCACTCCATCCATTTCGTGCTTTTACATTGTATAATTTAAGCACAGCAGATAACTTAGAAAATTTAGTGCATCTAGAGAACAAAGGTTTTTCAGCATTGTCAAACAAACTTTTAAATTCAGGAGGCATTTCACTAAAATCTCCCTGCACATCACGCACCATTTCATCTATTCGGTCATTATCTTCATCGCCCTCATTTTCGGTAGCACGAGTTTCATTATTCCCCTCATTATCTTCATGAGTTTGTCTATTTGCCTGAGTTTCACAGTCTACATGAGTTTCACTATCTAATTGAGCTTCCTTACTAGCGCTTGTACTTGGAATTAAGCTTTCACCATGCCATATCCATCGATCGTATCCTTCCTTAAAACCACGCCGTATCAAATGGATCTTCACTTCATCAGAACTACAATATCTTCTAAAATTTTTACAATCACAACACGGGTACACAATAAAGTCTTCCGCCTTTTTACTCCTATTTTCTTCAGCATATTGTATGAACTCTTGAACTCCTTGCATATATTTGAATGTAGTTCGTTTCTCATGCATCCAACTTCGATCCATATCTGTCAATTGATACAATGCTACTCTAAGTACTGTGTAGATATGGATACTCGATGATGGACGCACTTCGAAACACTATTAATTAAGTGATTTGAATTGAAATCAAATTACTTACTCCGTAATCAAAATACTTATCCGTTTATCCCACAAAAAAAAAATATCATCTCCATGACTTACTAGTGACCAAGACTTTAGTCATTAATTAGACTTTAGTGAATAATTAGACTTTAGTCACTGTAGTTCTTTGAAACATTCTCTTACTCAACTGCTTTATGTCAATGGAAAAAATAAATTCTATAAGATGATAGTTTATGCATATTATGCACTCTATTGTCGAGATTAACTAAAAATACTCAATAGTCAGAGGGACAAAAATGGGTATTAACTCATAAACTCATAGATCAAGGCCAGCCGACATAGATATGCATGCAGATTAAGCAAATAGATTACTATATTTGAAGAGTTGAAGATGATTTACCTGTTCAGCAAGATACATCTACATGTGCTAAGTGATTCTTGGAAGTTGCTTTCACCCACCCCCTGAGGCCTCCTCCATCTGCCCAATTATGCATGTGTTTGTGAGTGTTTTTTATAAGAAATGGAAGAAAAGAACTCTAAAGTGATACATTTATCAAACTCCAGAACATCTGCTATAACCCGTCAAAACATATATAAAGTTCATGACTTCTGATTACATAAGCATTTAAGTGCATATCAGGCTGGTGCTAAAAGTTCAGAATAAAAATACTGCAAGTCTCATAAGCAAATTCAGAATGCATTGGACCATGTCTTTATTTGACACATAAACCCTACAGTTGTAGTCTAACAAGTCCTTAGTTCATTAAAGGTATAGGGGTTAGCATTTTAGAGTTCCTCCTTCATCCTTACTAGAGTTAATAAAATAAGCAGAATACAGTAGTTGAAATACAAACTACAAAATCATAGGCTAATCCTAAAAAATGACATAAACCTATGGAAGTCTCAATTGATTATTACCCACCAAGATAGAAGACAAAGAAAGATTGAAAACAGCGGGCAGCTCAAATAATGCCTTCTGATTTCTGATTACAGGCTAAAAGTAGTACAGTACAATAACAAAAATACTCCTAAAAAAATAAATAAATAACTCTTCAACCAGACATGTTTATATTACGTAGCTCACTTTTAACCAAACAGAATAATCTAACATCCCTACGGTAATCTAACATTCGGTGAACCAAATATCCCCCTAAGTGTATTTCAAGAAAGTAAAACATGTCCAAATTTTATTGGACTAATAAAATGAAATGACTAAAAACTTAAGCTCACTTGTTTTTCAAAACCAATAAGAATATGTCATGTTAATAAAGAATAAAGGATATAGTTAAACGTGGGATTACTGGTAATATTACTATTAAACTCGCAGCACAGGAGACAATTGATTTAAAAACAAGCCTCTGCTTGGGAAAGAAGGAATATGCAGTGAAGTATAAAACAAGTTCAATTGATTTAAAAACAAGCCTCTGCTTGGGAAAGAATATGCAGTGAAGTATAAAACAAGTTATTGAAGAAGATATAAATTCTCTGCTCCGACAACCCAAAGGTAAGCAATTTTATTCTCAAGAATAGTCCATAGCTTACCTCTGCTTGGGTTTTTTTAATTTGTTCTGTAAATGCCATTGTTGCTGGAGGTGTTAAGGGTTTTAGCCGAATAATTCTACTGTAATTATATCAAAAATAACAACAAAAAACAAATTAAACAAAAAATTGACCTTACCTGATGGATGAATCAGCGGCTGGAGCGGTGGTTCGAAGCAGCGACGCGGCAGTGGATTGAAGCAGCGGCGGCGACCCTGTGGCGGTGGAGACGGCGGATGAGGGCGTGGGGCGGTGAAGCGATGATGAGACGGTGGTCGAGGTCGTGTCCTCGCCGGAGGTGCGGTGAGGTGATCGAGTCAGTCGAGGCTGGCGTCGAGGTGATCGAGGGTGTGAGATGTGAGCGGTGAGAGGATGGAGAACGCCTTGTACGATCAAGGGTTAGGTTTTTTCTAATTTAATTTTTTTTATAATATCGTTTCCGCTGCCCTTTGCTACACGAAAGGGCAGCGGAAACTCTTTCCGCCTTTTTTTTTTTTTTTTTTTTTTTTTTTTTTTTTTTTACCGCTACCCTTCTTTTAGTAAGGGTAGCGATTTCTTATTCATTTAATTACAATTATGCCACCGACCCCCTTTTTTTTAAAAAAATAATACACTACCCTTGTTTAAAGAAGGGTAGCTTAAAGTAGAATTTCTTTGCTCTATTCTGTACTAGTGGCTCTAAATGCGTTTGTATTCTCTGGCACATCATTGGTTAAGTCTAAGAAGGGTGTGTGTCTAGCTACTCCTGACTAGTGACTAATCCGCTTGTCAAAATTGTATCTGTTTACTCATCTGACAATTGTTTTGTGTTTTAAAGTCGGTGAGATTCTTTTGGTAGTTTTGTCAACTAATAGCCAAAGGGGGAGATTGTAAGTGTAAAAATCTTGCACATTTAAACCTCTTATTATTGGCTCAGATTAGTTGTCAAAGTAGTTCTGGATTAGTTACTGGATTAGTCATAACGTCTGGAGTAGTTGACTAGATCAGCGCAAGAAAGTAATCCAGGAGGTATGAAGCTTCTTCAAATTCTTTATTCCAGTCAAGACCCTATCAAGGAGGAGATCTAAATCTACTGGAGCAGCTGAAATCAAGGATGGAAAGAGTGCTTGATTTGTTGATCGAAGGATTCTTCACTACCTATATAAAATGCTACTTTGTTTAGCATTTTGATACACACTCTTTCACATACTTGTGCTCTGAAATTCCTTGGTTATTTATCCCAAATATATTCTGTATTGCTGAGTGTGAAGAAAGGTCCTTAATAAAATCATGAAGCAATGAAGATCGCCTGCACATCGAATCCACTGGAGTAGGCTCTGGAGTAGTTATAGGTTATACTTTAGTGTGTAATTATCTCTCCTCTTGTACTCCCTTTTATCATAGTGGATTTGGGTTGAAATGAGTGGCCCCGCAGACGTAGGAGTGAGGCTCTGAACTGCGTGAACATTTCCTGGTGCATGCTTTCCCTTACTGCCCTCTATTTTATGTTCGTTTTATATTTGGAGTAGGATTGTATCTAGGCTAATTATATTGTTGAAATAAAATTAATAACTAAGCTAAATCTTGCATTCAAGACTCACGTGGTTTTTCACAAACAATCCATATAAAGAAATTAAAAATTGACATGTTTATCATTTTAAGTAAACTATATTTTATCTTTCATTTTATGATTATGTTATTCAATATATTATTATTTTACAGAGAAAATTGAGTTCAAATGGTGCTCTCTATATATAAAGAACCAAGTGAAATATCATTTTCTAAAAAATAAATAAGTCACTAATATTATTTTGAAATTTACCTTTTTAAAAAGTAGTGAGTTAGAACCACCTTAAAAGTTAAAAGGAACAAAGCATATTATCAGTAATGTCCCACCTCTGCTGCTATAAGGATATTATCAGTAATCAGTCTGTCAGGTATAAATGCACTTTGTGAGTCAGATATTATATTTTCCATTAAAGGCCTCATTATCTGTGTAATCATTTTGGCCATTATTCTGTAGATTACATTACTCAAAGCTATTGGTCGAAGATCAGACACCACCTCAGGGATTTTCTTCTTTGGGATGAGTACAACGTCCGTATCGTTCAGCTCAGAGGGGAATAAGCGATTATTAAGACAATTCAGTATAAATGTCGAAACATCATTACCAACTACATCCAAAAAATGCTGGTAGAAACCTGGGTTCATACTATCTGGGCCAGGTGCTTTGTCCGGGGCCATTGCAAAAGGGGCACTCTTAACCTCAGTCACTTCAAAGGGCCGTAATAATAATTCATTCTGAGCTTGAGTAACTCGTGGGATTACCTCAGCAAATAAATTTCTACCATCCATAGGGTTACTAGAGGAGAAGATATGGCTAAAATATTCCAAGATAATCTTATTCATATCACTCCCTTCCATCCACTCCCCATTATCATTCATAAGCTTATAAATAGTATTTTTCTTTTTATGGTGAGAGGCATACCTGTGGTAGAATTTTGTATTTGCATCCGCATCTTTGAGCTAGTGTTGTTTGGCTCTCTGTTTCTAGTAAGTATCTTCTTGAATCTCCATATTGCTTAGAATTCCCTCCAGCCGATAGAATTCAGCTAAGGATGCAGGATCAATGCGTCCCCTAAGATGTAATTGTTCCCTACGTAGGTGCATAATCGTTTCACCGAACTTATGATACCGATCACCACCCCATCAGGACAATTGACTCCCACAGTGCGCTATGCAGTCTTGGATTCCTTCGTTCCTTCAAAACTGTTAATTTAGTACCTTAATTATTTAATTTTTATCAATTTTGATCATTCCAACCAAATGTCACCTAAAAATTTTAATTAACCAATTAATGTTTAATGTAAGAGGCAAAATTGTCTTTCTATGTCCCGGAGGACCCTTCTTCCCTCTCCCGGCCATCGCTGTCTAATTCCAATGTCTTTCTAACTGGGATGGGATTTCTTAATTAAAGAACATTTATGTTCTATTCTATGATGAAATGGAATTTACATAATAATTCTGAATTTGACAAATGAAAATAGTATTTTTATTGTTGTCAGTTAAAATTTATGTCCCATAACTGTAGATTTGTATACATGGCTGGTTAACTCAACTCATTTTAGTGCGATAATTGCTGCAGCCTTGCCAATTAATTCCAGGAAGATGTTCCATGCTGTCTTTGAAACTAGAGCGTATCCTAAAGCGTATCTGTAAAGCCACCTGTCCTTGATTGCATTTGAATCCTAGCCATCGTTGATCTGATCTTTTATCAGGAAGTGTTAAAGATACAGTAGATCTTCTATCAGAAAGTGTAAGGAATTAGACAGCAATGGCGGGAAGAGGGAAGAAGGTTCCTCCGGAATATAGAAAGATGATTTTACCCTTTACATTAAATATTAATTGAATAATTAATTTTTTCGGTGACATTTGGTCGTCAATTTAGTGGGAGTGACCAAAATTGAATAGTTAAAAGATACTAAATTAATAGTTTTCAAAGTCGTGGATTGCAATTAATAAGACCGAATGCAATAGTTACGGAATCTTAGATTACCTTAGAGAATTTTAGATTGCTGGAATGTTAGATTACTGGGAATGTTAGATTAATGTGCTTGGTTAAAATTGAGGTAGGTAATATAAACCTGTTTGGTGTGGGGGTTATCTTTTATGCTATAATTATTATTTTTACTTTAATATTGTTAACATATTTTCATGTATTTTAATAAACTTTAAAATTAAAATAAATAGATAATATAATGATATATCATATATAATTACATGATTTGAAAATATTTAAGTAACATAACTTAATTGTGAAACAAAATGATTTTATAAGTTAATATGCCGTAATAAAAATAAAATAAAATATATAATTACAAAAATAATTAAAAATGATGCATATAATAAGTTCCATTTGGAAGGTTGTAAGTTCGAGCCTCAGTGGAGGCGTTATTAGCTCTTTGTGCTTCAGTAGGTTGAGAAAGTATATGAACAGATACTACAATGTAATAGAGCTAGTAGCATTCAAAAAAAAAAAGTTCACATAAAATATATATTTTATAATAATTAGAATTAAAAGGGAAAAATGTTTAAATATGCATGGCAATCTTGGATAACCTAAGAAATGTAAGATAATCACATTCCTTTTAAAATCCTATGTGGAAGGTATGTTGCATTCTTTTAGTAATGTTACATTCTATTGGGAAAGTAAGATAACATGAACCAAACATGAGAATGTAAGAAATTTTTTCTCATCCACAGCTCCCTAAATTTTTCTCATCCACAGCTCTCCTCCGCTTCGGATCTAGGCTTCTCCACTTCGTCTTAGTTTCCGTGCCTCACGGCCTCCGCACTCGGCCACTCTCCGCGCGGTCACATTCTCACGCCCTCTATCCTCCGCTCTCGCTCAAACGATCAGACTTCATCGATCCTTCCTTTTCATTTGTGCATTTTGTTGCGATTACAAGATGAAGGAAGAAAAAGGGAGAGAATTGTGTGAAAAAGGAAAAAACTTACTGCATTAGAATGAAGAAAGGTTCATATACAGCTTAGGTAGAGGAAGCGGGAAAACAATAGCAAATAACAGAAATAACGACAACAGCTTTTCAACTCAACTACTAGGGGAATGAGATGACGCCAAGTGTCCTTCATCTGTGTCTCCTGAAAGCCTTCCGCAAGCTGGATTGTATAGGTTATGCAATCCAAGCTTGGAAACATAACTGAAGAAGGAGCCAGGGCAATGGGCTTTAGTGAAAACATCTGCCAATTGGTTTCCAGAAGTAACATGAAAAAGCTTAATAGTTCCCTTTTGCAGCTTCTCCCTGATGAGATGGCAATCCAACTCGATATGTTTTGTTCGTTCATGGAACACTGGGTTCTCAGCAATAGCTATAGCTGATTTGTTGTCACAATAGATAGCTGCAGCTGTGCTATGGTGTATGCCAACTTCAGTTAGAAGGTAAAGCAGCCATTGTAACTCACATGTGGTTGTTGCCAAAGCCCTGTATTCTGCTTATGAGGAGGACTTAGATACCGTGACTTGTTTCTTTGATTTCCAGGATATTAGAGCTGGTCCTAGAAACACACAAAAACCAGAAACTGATCTCCTGGTATCCACACAAGCTCCCCAATCTGAGTCAATAAAGGCCTTCAACTGCAAGTTGGATGAAGCTGGAAAGAAAAGGCCTTGGCCAGGGGCACTTTTGATGCTGCCTGTAAGTGTAAATGGGTTGGCTTCTCCAAGAATTGAGATAACTGTTGGGTTGCAAAGGTGATGTCTGGCCTTGTAATGGTTAGATACAACAGCTTTCCAACCAATCTCCTGTATTGAGAGTTATCATCCAACAAGTTACCCTCAGTTTTGCTCAGCTTCTGTGAGGGGATAGTTGGACTATGAACAGGTTTGGAGTCTATGAAACCTGTATCTTTTAGCAACTCAAGGGCATAGTTCCTCTGAGAGACTGAAATTCCTTTCTTATGTCTAGCCACTTCCAGTCCAAGAAAAAACTTGAGGGGCCCTAGATCCTTTATCTGGAAGTTGTCATTGAGCTGTAATTTGATTTGCTGTATGAGATCCAAATCAGCACTTGCCACCACAATATCATCAACATAGACTAGTAATGTCACAAAGGACTTCCCTTCACCTTTAGTAAATAGAGAATTATCAGAGATGGCTTGCTTAAACCCCATATTCTGCAAAGCACTACATAATTTGGTGTTCCATTGTCTTCTTTCCTGCTTTAAACCATACAATGACTTGGTTAGTTTGCAGACTTGTCCAGCCTTATTGCTTTTGCATCCAAGGGGGAGCTGCATATATACTTATTCCTCTAAATCTCCATGAAGAAAAGCATTGTTCATATCCATTTGATGAATGTGCCAACCCTTGGCTGCTGCTATGGCCAATAAGGTCCTGATTGTTGTCATTTTTGCCACTGGGCTGAAGGTATCCAAGTAGTCAATTCCAAGGGTTTGGGTGTATCCCTTTGCCACAAGCCTAGCCTTGTATCTATCAATGCTCCCATCAGCTTTGTACTTGATTTTATACACCCACTTACATCCAATGGGACTTTTGTTGGGAGGTAAATCAACCAACTGCCAGGTATTGTTTTCTACAAGAGCTGCAATCTCACTGTCCATGGCCTTCCTCCAACACTCATGTTGGACTGCTTCCTTGAAAGTCTTTGGTTCAGTGTGATGAGTGATGTTCACAACAAATGACTGGAAATTTGGTGATAGCTTACTATAATCCATGACTTTATGAATATCATGAGGGGATGTCTTCACCACAGAGTTGTGACACACATAGTCCTGGAGATAAGTTGGAGTTTGCTTCTGTCTGTTAGACTTTCTGACTGGCTGATTACCCTCAGGATTTGCAGGCTGGGATTGGTTCTGATCAACAGGTTGGTTTACTTCTTCACCTCTATCAATTATGATCTATGAGTGACTATGAGTCTGAGTGGGGATATCATCAGTCTGGTACTGCTGTTGAGGGACTTCAGTAACTTCACAAGGGACATCAACAGGATTGTCACTCATAGTAGGAAGAATGAGTGAGGGTGGCTTCATTCCAGGATTATGACTCAGTTGAAATGGGAAGATGTGTTCATAAAAAGACACATCTCTAGA